CCTGTCCCCAAACCAGCAAGAAATAAGCTGTGCAATCCCGTTTGACACCACACAGTCACTTGTCAAAATCTTCAAAATCTTCAATCCTATGGAGAGTTCTGGAGTATCAACATTTACTCTGGACTGTCTCCCAACAGGACTGAATGTGAGTGCAGAGCAGATAAAGGGGCCTGGCACAGAAGATTTTTGACAAGCATCTGTGTGGCACTGTTGAGGTGCCATAGCTGATGGCTCGCTGGATTGGAGACCGACAAGTAGAAAACTGGAAGGGGGATAGCAGCACTACAGATATGGAGGTTGGTGAGTTGAACCACAGAGCACTGTGGGGGAAACAGGAGAAACAAACTTTCCGAAGTGTCAGTTTCCCAGCAGACTTCTGGGGATGATCCCTCCCCAACAGAGCAGCATTCAGCAGCACAGTCGGCAATAGGTAAGAGGCTGCATCACAGCCTAGAGCAGCCAAGAACTGCAGAGGCACCAGAATACACATGACTGTTTTATCTCTGAGCCAGCCCATACGTGCAGGAAGTAGATGCTGAACAAGGATGGCCGCATCCTTCTGGAGACAAAAGTAGCAATTTTAGGGGGAGGAATGTGATCTCTGTCAGAGTCAATCTAAAGCTTTTGCCCGCAGTACCTCTCATCTGCCACAAGATGCCCTCAGTCGTCTGGATTAAATGACACCCAAAATCACTAAACCCAGAACACGCCATTATCTGCACATTCTACATATGTATGTTTATGCATGTTTTTGATAATTTTTTTATGTGTTCCAGTGCTTTTTATTTTAATTTGGTTTAAATTGTATTTAAGGTAATTGTATTTAAGTTCTGGTGTGTTTACATGTGTTCCAGTGTGGAAAAAAAGCAAGCTCTGGTGTGAGCTAGCCTCATTTAAAAATCACTGGAATGACTGTGTATGCATTTTTAGTGCAGATAAGAAATGCACTGGATTAGAGATGGTGTGAACAAGCCCTAACATTGTGAGTGCAGGATGTAATGGCTCTGCCCCCTAAGAACAGCATCCTGACTCACATTATATTGATGAAGATAGCATTTTGCCTCATCCAGGACCACTGTTTGTTAGGAGAGGACCAAAGAGGAAGAGGACCCTGCGTATATCAAGCGGTTGGCCTCACAGGGAGAAGGGGGGGACATGGAGTCTGGAGCTAGGCTTTGGGGCCTAATCATACTTAGGTGCTGTGATGTGTTAATGCGCACATTACTGCAACGCGCACTAAGACAAAGCAGCTCATATAAGCATTGCAACACACTGCAAGGCACCGTGATGCACTATTGTGCAGCGTTGTACGCTGCATCGGAGCAAAGGCTGCATGTCCGTTTTTTGTCCATTCTGCAGCACTGGCAGCCCAAAACAATGCGTGACATAAAGTGTGAATGGACCCTTAAGTGCTGTGCAGCTTGTGGAGTGTCAGTGAGCAAATTTAAGGAGCAAGAGTATGAATGCAAAGAAATTTTAAGTACAAACAGAAGAATACTACTATGGTTGCAAGCTAAATACTGTAAATGTAACTTTATTTTTTGCCATTTAACATTAAATTACAAAATGTTTTCTATAGCAATTCCTAATGTGATGGTAACAAAATACTAAAAGTGGTCACTGCTGCAGTAATGGAACCTACCAGATCACTGTAAACGTCCACACAACCTCCTGATGAGCTGACAGAAGCCACAGCCAGCAGAGCATGTTGACGGTGCCAATAGATGTTTGATGGAGATGCTGCGGGATTCTGGGCCTCTATCCGATGGTCAAAATACACCGCCATGGCAAATGATCGTCTGGCAAAATCCAGACCTGCAACACAAAGTGTCACTCACATAAGTATGAACAAGGTAAAGAGTATTAAAAATTAATGTTGTCACCTAATACTGTATTGTACATTATAAAGCCATTATTTGTGTATAGTCTTCAGTTTCTGCCACAAGACAGTGCAGCTGTTGCAGTTGTGTCACCAAAATAAACCAGAGATGGGCTACCAACTAAAGGAAAGCTGTACTGAAAGTACAGTAATATGAAAGCTACCATTGTTTATCTCCCCGCATCGATTCCCCGCTTCCCCACTCCTATCCTCCAGCGCTAACTGGAGGAACGGACGGGGGAGGGGGCGGGCACAGCTGGCTCTGCCTCTAGATAGGCAGAGCCCGCTGTCATTCACGCAGGTGGGTGGATCTCGACAGCATTGTCGGGATCCGTCTCGGCTGCAACGGTCTCAGTATACCGCGAGCTGTAGCTCATGATATACTGAGCTTTGGGTCACAGGAGGAGGCTAGTATATGTCCCCCCGTGACCCTTAAGAGAACTATGGGGAAAAACACTTACCCCAAAGTTCTCTTTTAACTATTAAAATGTTTTTATCTTATTTGTGTATCACTCGGCTGTAGATCCTCAGATCATCTCTGAATTGGTGCTGACACTGTCCTTCCTTCCTGTATGTTGTAAAGTAGCCACTGCTCCAAGCTCACTCCCGGGATGGACTATAATCCCAAAACAAATTATAAAACAAAACGTGAAACTATAGTCTATTGTGGGCACCAGCTTGGAGCAGTACAAGTTTGGAGTGATACACAAATAAGATACATTTTTGTTAATAGTTAGAGTATTTGAATGCATTTTTAAGATTCAACTCCTGAGTTTAGTGTTACTTTAAAGTGGGCCTTTACCCAGATCTTTAAAATAACAACAAACACACCTTTAGAAATGTTTAGTAATGACAATCTACAAACACAGACTTCTAGATAATTGCCGGATTTGTATTCTTTGCATTCCTTATTTCTCTTTTCTTCCCCAGTCTTCTGACAGTGGCCATGTTTACTAAGGGCAGATTACTAGATCTCGTATTACTTCCTGGATTTCTGGCACATGTGAGTCGTGACTAGGACATGTGACCATGCACATCATCCAAGGGGAGGAAAATGCCTTTCCTCTCGTGAGATTACAGATGAGATTTACCAGGAATGCTAAGCTGATGACAAGACAATCCCAGTGTACACATACTTTGGCAAACTGAAGTTATTTTGCCCTTTCAAAGCAGGAAGTGAATGCTCTGTAAGTGTAAGGATTTCAAAATCACAGCATTGTGCACCTGACATGTCTATGTTATTAATAATCATCATACATAGAGGGACGCATTGGTAGTATTTGATTTTTGAGTTTAAATCCCCTTTAAGACCAGTGGCTTAGAAAGTACCAAAGCCTTTGGATCAATGTAACAGCAATCAGCACACCACGGGCAGCCTATGTAGAGTATCATTTAGTACAGGTTTTCTTTAGAGGGTTATATCAGGGTTGGGCAAATCCCAGGAGACTGGTAGCTGTTGCATCTTAAAAATTACAGCTGGTGCATAGCGTTTGAGTTTTTCTCTAGTTGTTGTCTAGTAATTGTCTCGAGTTGGCAAGCCTTATAAGGAACTGTTTTGGGAGACACTAAATTGGTGAGAAAAGTTCCTTTTTAAAGAACTGTAAGGCCCCTTTCACACGGGCTGATCAGGAGAGGATGCATGCATGGATCCCCTCCTGGTCACAGCAGTATGGCGCGGATGTCACCGCTGTGACATCCGTACAGTTTTTTCCTCCCCTTTGCGATGGAGGAAAAACGTAAACTGCTGGACCCCATGTTGGTCTATGGGGCATCTAATGTAAATGGACATGTGTCAGTTTATATCAGATTACCCCAAGTCCGGCATGATCCAGTCCTGTGAAACGGATCTCTGATCTATCTGTGTCTCCGGACCCGGCCGGAGGCGGGGGTAACTAGGTATAAGAGAACGCTCGTTCGTTTACATACGGCTGCCCATAGATTTGCATTGAGCATCCGATCGGGTCCGCCTGAAAAAACTGACAGGCGGACCCGATCGGACCAGCCGTGTGAAAGGGGCCTAAGGGTGGCCATACACTTTACAACCATCGCAAGACCTTAGTCTTGCGATGGTTGTAAAGTAATTTAAAAAATGTACGATCTGCCCATCTTGGACAGGCAGATCGTACTTGCGATCATCACAAGCCCGCCACCCTGAGGGGCTGGCTTCCGATGACAGCAATGCTGAACGGGCAGTGTGCGCGTGCGCACACCGGCCTGTTTGGCATTTGTCTCCCGAGCATCATTCAAACCAGCCGAAAATCGTAAGATTTTCGGCTGGTTTTCTAGCATGCTCCTTAGACAAAAGACGTGCGACCGTACAGTAGAATCGGTCGCACGTCTTCATTCACACTGCACGATTCTCGTACGATCGTGGGATTTCCCGCGATTCTCGTATGAGAATCGTGCAGTGTATGGGCACCTTAAGACTTTGATGCACCAGAAATGTGTTTAGCTGATTTCATGGCAATTTTCAGATTAAATCAGCTAAACACAATCCAGGTGCACTAAAGTTATTTTTCTTTCTAAAGCACTTGTACTTAGCTCATTTAATTCAAGAGGAATATATAGATGACTGGCCCTAACATCAAGCTTCAGCAGCTTTTCGTCCATTAGGTAACTGCAAGTCACTCCATATATTACGGTAGTATAGTATGCTGGGAGTTGTAGTCCAAGAATATTGACAGTCCTGGGTTGACCGTAGGCTGGCTGTACACTATACAATCTGACCATACAATCTCAAGATTTACCAAAACTCTGTACTATGAGGTCAACCCTAAATCATTAGTCCAATTAGTAGTATATCAGACAGGCCCTTGCACCACATAGCTGGTGGTAGAATGTACAATCAGATTGTATAGTGTATGATTAGCTTTAGGGCCCATTCACACCAGGTGCGTGCGATGAAAGCGCATCACTGGGCAAATCACATACTGCTCTTTAACAGTGTGGGAGGTGCGTTGTGTTGATATTTACTTGAATGGCACCCCATACACACAATGCGATCAACCGAGCAGCAACGCACAGTACTGCGATACCGTGCACTGAGGTGCGGTTGAAAGAAGTGGTGCATGTACTATTTTTTCAACCGCAAAGCAAATGTTGTGGTACCCCTACCTTGCAGCACGGTCAATCACATTAAGGGCGGGGGGGTGCGTTTGGGGTGCCACTCAAACCTCCTCCTGCACCATTAAAGCACGGTAGGTAAGCACGGTAGGTAAGTTGCACAGTACCATGCGTTAATCGCAAGGAATCGTAGGATTAACGCACGGGCCTGATGTGAACAGGATGCCAGCTGTATAGAGTTTGCTCTATTCCATGGTTGTCACTGCACACACATGGGGCACAGAATCAGAATAAGTGATGGGGGGTTACCCAACAATTGGGTGTTTTCATGATGCATAGATTTAATTAAATCGGCTCATCTCTGGCTTTACTCAGTAAGAAAATAAACTGCAATTACTATTCAGACTAATGGACAATTATATAATATACAGCCAGGCATTCCATGAATGACAACACAGGCTACTATTGGCCTGGGGTGACGGAATACGCCATATTCCCCAGCCTGGATATCACTAACACATTGAATATCTTTCTCCGCCTCCCAGGCCCCCAAATAACCATCTTACCCCGCCGGTCTGTTTCTTTTTTTTCCCCGTAAGGCTTCTACTCCTGTACCAGGCCGCTTCGCTTCCCGTTACCCTGACAACGGGCCGGGCAGTCACGTGACCCGACAGTGCCAATCCTAGTCTCCTATTGGCAACGCGCTGAACCGAAGTAAACGAGCGTTTCCGAAATAGAACTAAGAGTTCCGGAACATGCCGACAGCCTTTCGTGTTTTTCCGGAGAAAAACCTCCGAGAGGGATTATTACTGTGCTGTAGAATATAACAGCTGCTGCAGCATATTTATGAGGGAGATGCAAATCCACATTCTATTTTTTTTTTTTTTAAACGTAGACAATAGTAAGATAGGGGTCAGAAAAAGGAGCCTCGGTGCAGTGCACGACAGGGGACAAACCTTCTGGTGGCCCATACGGGCTACCTCCCCTCCATTCAAGCCCTGCAGCTTCTGTCAGTGTCCCCCATTGTACATTGTGGTTCCTTCCTACGGACCCCTACATCGGTAGTAACATAGGGGTTGGTGGAAGGAGACTCGGTGCCAGGGCATCCATATAATAAGACAGTCTGAGGCTGTTGCCTCAGGCTGCATTTCTTTGGGTCATGTGGGGAGGAGGCAGGCAGAGTGGTATGGTATGTGTGCAGTGTGCCTGCCAACCCCCCTTTCCAGCCAGAGAATCCCAGGTTGCTAAGAGTTGGGCGAGGAGTTGTAAGGGCCATACACATTTCCCCGCCCAGCTCTTAGCAGCCTGCGATGATCTGGCCGGCGTCCCGCTCAGCTCCTGGCAACCGGTAATGTGAGTGACACGAGTGGTGCAATGTGCAGTGCACGACGGGGAACCAACCTTCTGGGCTGCGGCGGGGTAAGAGCCACATGATCTAGCCACTGCCGACTTCAAAACTAGCAAGACGACTTTGTGGCCAGCTAACTGCAGGACTCTGCTGGCAAAAAAAAAATGTTGAGGGAGATTCCGATTTCCCTTTTATGTAGTGAGCACTGCCTTCCATCTGCCCATCACTTTCATCAACTTCCTGGATTCCCAGTGTGCTTTGCATCTCTTTCCCTGCTGCTTGACGGGATGCAATCTCCATTTCTCAAGACTGCATCTCCCATCATGCATGCACAGCAAGCAATGATAATGTTACATTGTTCAGACGTTGAGTTGTAGTTCAGACGGCAGGCTCTGTGAGAGTGGTGACACCAAAAAGTGCATATTCACAGGGCTGATTGAAATGGTGTCAGTGCATTGAGGAAGTCCATCCCATGGACATCTTCAATAAGTAAGTTTACAAACTTCTAGATGGATCTGGTTATTTGGAATAGGATAAAACATATGGAAATTCAAAATAGAAATACAGATTTATTTTTAGTTTTTGACCATAGATACCCTTTAGAGCAGTGGTTCTCAACCTGTATAACCTCGGGATCCACATTTGTCCTCGGTCATTAAGTCGTGACCCAAGTCGCACTGCACTGGAACGCACGGCATTGCAGTACCACATGTTCTGGTGCAAGTGATCAAACTGCGGGCGGGAGGTGTGTTTGGGTGCCATTCAAATAAATTGCAACACAACGCACCTCCTGCACTTCCTGCACCAGAACGGACAGTAGTTTGAGATTAAAACACTGACAGACACACAGACACAATCACACCCCCCCCCAAAAAATTAGGGGTTCAGTGTGGGCTGTTGTGCTGCGGCGAAGCTCCTTTAATATGTGCACTGCTTGGGACTATTTTGAAATCACTTCAACTTTTCGAAGAGAGGGACTCTAGTCCAGTATAAAATTCCATTCCCAATCCTTAGTCCATCTCTGGAGCTCACCTCTATCACCCAAACACGTGTACATATGTGATTGGGGAGTCCATATTTGTATTTTTTAAGGTATGTATGTACATATGTGATCAGGGAGCTCATGTTTGTATTTTTAAGGTATATATGTACATATGTGATCAGGGAGCTCATGTTTGTATTTTTTAAGGTATATACTGTATGTACATATGAGATCAGGAAGTCTTTATATGTTTATTTTTTAAGGTATATATTAGGGCTGTGCAAATTAACGATTAATTTCTCGATTAATCGTTAATCTTTTTGATCGATGAAAAAATTTTTGATCGATTAAAATTTTTTTTAAACTTTCTGCACGAGCGCCAGCCAAGGCATTGGCCTATACACATACAGCTTGAACAGGAAGTCTTTATTTGAAGGTATACATGTACACATATGATGTGTAATCAAGGAGTCTTTACTTTTAGTTTCTTTACACACATGTAAATCTTACAGCAATATATAATCAGGGAGTTTATATATAAAAATTGTCTTATTGTCATATACATGCATGCCTCAAAAAATGTATAGTAATTAATATTTTTTTTTTGTAACTCTGCATTGTATTTATAATAATTATAATTTTAAAAAATTTTCTATTCTGAAAATTGGTAACAAAGTGTAACCCGTCACTGTTTACATGACAGACAACTTCCGGCACGCCCATCCACATCAATCAAACCTCCAACGGCCAATAAAATCCGGAGGAAGGGAAGTTGTCCACAGACCAACGAATTTGGTTTTGAAACCTGAGCTGCTATTGGATAATCATCCCAGCCAATCCGCGCTCTCAGTCTCTGCCCACTGACATCACTCTGACACTCCTTCCGTGCCCATGACTCTCAGCGCCGCTCTGTCGTTGCGCTTTCCGATTGGCGGTCACGCAGCAAACGCCGCCCTCCCCTGTAAATCGGCCAATCGGTGCATTTGTTTGGGTTGCGAGGGGTGTAGCTTGTTTTGGCAGGCTGGCTTGGCGCGGGTTGTTGTCAGATGCGGACGCGGGCTGGAAAGAGGAAGGTCGGCACCTGGGTCTAAGGGAGCTTTGGGCCGGGCCCCGTGGGACCTGGTCAGGATTATTGCACCTTAGATGTTCTCTGGAGCACGCCAGGCGGTACCCGAATAGGCCCGAGGGCCTGGGCTGTCAGCTCTGGTCCTGCAGAGGATAGGAAAGCTGCAGCAGGCCCTTCCATCATCCTGAATGCTGCAGGTAAGACCCTTACTCATGGGCCAAATGGGTCGTCTCAGCACCTTTGGAACTACAGATCCCAGCATGTGTGACACTGCAAATGCCAGCAGGCTGTTAGCAAGAGCAGACCTGCCATGTGATAAATGAAGTGGAGCAGCCTGTGGGTCGCTGCCCCTCTCTTATAAACTAGGGGATGGAAGGCATGTTTTTATTGTATCTGCACAGCTGTCACTGTGACAACTGTCCTCATCACACCTCATGTCACCTAGTGACGATCCTGCCATGTCAGCAGTGTGATTAGCAATGCAGTACTATGACTATTGTCCTATCACAATGCAGTCTGGAGCTTAGCACTTCTGTACCAACCAAATGGCACCTGAGAATTAAATGAGGAGGTTGATTATCAAGCTTTCAATTCCTCCTATCAATGTGCAAGACCTAAACCCTCCCCGCCCCCCTCTTCCCCCCCAAAAAAACAAAACACAAGTGGCTTTCTATAGAGGAAACAGGTGCTGACTGCAGCTGTCTGTTAGAAATCATGTTATCAGTTCCATCCTTGTCTTCCTATATTCATGAAAAGAGAGTGCTGGTGACAGTGTTTGTATAATGTACTCATTGATCGCCTAGTGCTCAGCTTGTTCCGTTATTGGCGATCAATAAGCTGCAAACAGGCAGCAGATGTCTTTGTTATACACTTTGGATGTTGCAGATCAGCTCTGCTAATGGTTGTTATTATAAATATGCAACAAATTATTGCATAATATAATTAATGATGATGATACAATTGTATCAATCCAGCCTGCTGTCATTGAATCCTTCCCTGTCATGTGTTGATGTTACAGCACAAGCTGTGCTTCTTGATCTGGGCTGCAGATTATCTTCAGATACTAATTATTCTAAATGTCTCCATATGTATTCATCTGTCTGATTTATTTTTATTTTGTGGTCACATTTTATGGCACAACCTCCCTCTTTTCTTCCCTGATGATCCTGATGACTGCATGATAAAAACAATGCATTGTTTACATTGCATCAAATATTGTATCCATGTTGATATTTAGTATCCGGTGGGCAGTTTTCTGCCTCCAGTGAATCCAGTGATCAGATCTGGGTGTGGAATTGATTTGCTGATCTGGATATTATTTTTTATTTTCTGATGTTGACAGAGAACTTCAAAATGGATGTCTTGTAGTCCATGTTGTTTTGTGCGCAGGGAGATGCTTTGTGCCCATTGTAAACTTGCTGCTGCCGATCCAGTTTTATGACCCAGAGATCCGTTTGTGTATAAACACTCGAAAGGGAAAGGGGGAGGTGGTTGCCTTGGTTTGTGTGTTTTTAGTATTTTGAGGGGTTATTGTTTATTTTTGTAGCCAAAAAACAAAAATGTGAAATTCTGCAGAAAATCTGATGACGTAGCGAAGCAAAGTTCAGCTCCAAGGCAGAAAGCCCCCCTCGGGTGACCCCACTTTGGCAGCTTGCCGTTTAAAATCACGGGGCTCCCCGAGCCGCCGCGACCCCTCGTTGGAAAGCTCAGGGTCTTGGCTTTCGTTTGCGCCCGGCCCCGTGTTTTTAGGAGCCGGCGATCGCGAGTTAGAGGATGGGGAAGGTGGGGTGTGCTCCCCGGCGCCTGGGCTTTTTTGCCAGTGCATTGAGTAGGGAAGCGAGTCTCCAGCCAGAAAGACACGCAGAGGAGACGAGGGCGCAGAGCTGGGCTGCTCCCTCCTCCGATAACATGGGCGATCCCGGGCGGACCGAGGCTCGGCCAGGCTCCGATCCAGGGTGAGGACCAAGAGGACCCCCCGGGGGTGCCGTGGACGGCGGAATGGGTCGGCACCGTCCGGCCCGATACACTTTTAGAGGGCTCTGAGCGAGGCGGCAGAGCTGAGGCGGCTTTGCTCGCCTTGATCATCATGTCGGGTTCTCTTGTGCTCAGCCGGAGAGACAACAAAACGGGGCCCAGATCTTTCTCGTCTGCCGTCCCTCAGCACCGGCCCACCGGCTCCCGGGACCCCTCCACCCCTCGGCCAGCAAGGGGAGCCGGTCCCCGGCAGCCCACCCCGGGATCCAGGCAGCCTTGTGCAGTCGGGACAGTGCAAGAGGATTTGTCACTAACAATGGCGGCCATGTTGTTCAGGATCTCTTTTTCTCTGTCTCTGTCCACAACTTTATTTTTTATTTTTTCTCTGCCAGGAAAGGGGGGTTTTATTTATGGGGGGTGTCAGGCAGGGGGAGCCCCCCCCCATAGTGGCCTGCGCCCCCCCGCCCGTCCCGCTCAACCTTACTTAACCTTTTTGTGTGTTTTTGTTTTGCTGCTTTCCTTGCAGGATGACAGTGAAGCTGAAGAGTGGGGAGGAAAGGTTGAAGAAGCCAAATAAGAGAACCCCAGAAGCCGAGGAAGAGGACGAGGGCGCCGGAGAAGTGGAAGAGCCAGAACAGAAAGGGGGAGACCCGCTCATTCCTGAGACCCCCGACCAGGAGGCCAAGGAGGTCCTGACCCCCAAAGGCCAGCAGGACCAGCATCATTTCCTCAGGTCCAGCGTCCGACCGCACAGCAAGCGGCAGAGGAGAGACGACTGCGGCAACGAGAAAGCCGCCGCCGCCAAAAGCAAAGGTATACTCCACGTTAGCGTGCCTGCAGGCTTGGGGGTTCGCCCTGGGTGGACCCCCAACTTTAGGGGCGCACCGTGGCTTTTTTTTTATTCTGTACATTTTGGTTCATTTTTGAACCAGTGTTTCTTGCAGGGTCGGATACGCAGCCCCCATGCCAAAGTATCCACTGTGCATTGATGAAGCTCTTAAAAATGTTTTAGGGAGCTCACCTGGGATAAAGGATTCTCACGTAGGGCATTGATGACGCACAAGAAACGTTGAGCTTTGTTTTGGGGTGCTCACCTGGGATAAAGATTTCTCACTTTTTGTCAT